CTCTCTCTCTCTCTCTCTCTCTCTCTCTCTCTCTCTCTCTCTCTCTCTCTCTCTCTCTCTCTCTCTCTCTCTCTCTCTCTCTCTCTCATGCTACCCTGATGAACCTCTGGTACCCAGCGCCAGGTTGCCTAGGCTACTCACAGCCTCACTTCCTACCTCACTCATCACTTGGCCACTCGACTACGCAACACCACCTCCGTCAGGCACGAATGCAATTGCGTGTTGATGGCAACTGTCAATGTGTTTTTGTATGCAATGATTCAGCTGCCCAGTAACCCGTCGCCTCCCAGCCTGGGTCTGTCGGCCCATAACGTTTTCCAGAATGTTCACTGATTTCCTTGGGACCCCGAGCTGCTGACTTGCTCGAGACTGTACTCGACTGCACTCGGCCTTGTACCCTACTGGACTCAACTCGGCTCAACCTCCGACCTTGCCGGACCCTACCTAGAGCTACCTATCGCTTGGACTGGGACTGTTAGTACACTTGGGCCATGAGACTGGGACTGGGGTCTGAAAACCGTCAACTTGTGTCAGAGATGTTGAGAACTTGAGACCGACTAAATTAAATGGAAAGTTGAAACGAACGTTGAAGCTTGAAATCGACTAAAATAAACGGGTGTCGAGACTCGCTAGCAAGTCCAAACTTGAAACCAAGCCGAAAAGGAAACCAACTGACACTCACTCTAACAAAGGGTCGCCCATAAAACAAACAAAACCACATGAGATACACATCAATCAGATCAACTTCAAGAGCCAAAGATCACCCATGAAACAGGGCAAACCGCATGACACACACATAAATCAGTCTAATTAAGAACTCAGAACACTGAGCACATAACTTCGGGAGAAATTGTGCTGGAGTATCACAACACCTCTCAAAAACACAGAACCAGACTTTACCTTCACACACTCGACAATAGTTTGTCGATGACGTTGAACAGCTTGTGTGTCAACTGCAACCACTTTAACCAATGTGTTCAATGCAACATACCTGCCAAGCCAAACCACTATATTTCAGACTTATCCCTGGCCAGAGTGTTCTTTGTTTGCACACGTTCGATTCCATCACTACCCATTCCTGCTCCCTCACAAAAAATCATTACAAATCAACTTCACCTGCAACAATGCCTGAGCCCATAGCTCTCTCTCTCTCTCTCTCTCTCTCTCTCTCTCTCTCTCTCTCTCTCTCTCTCTCTCTCTCTCTCTCTCTCTCTCTCTCTCACACACACACACACACACACACACACTACTGAGCTTGCGGTTCCAAAACACCCATCCCCATAGCATGGTTGAACCACCAGTCCCAGGCCCTGCCACCACAAAAAACAAGCTCGACTACACGCCATCAAAGCAAAGGCTCAACATACCGGACACAAGGGGGGTGTGCCCCAACATTGGCAATATTTTATTCTCATTTCAAAGAGAAATTCAAAAAAAAAATCAGGGACCTAGAATAGGTGTTGCCGCATCAGAGAGAAATAATAAATAGACAAAAACCATTTCACCTCCGAGAAAATATCCGCCCTATGCGGCCCTAACCAATTTATCAAAGGCGTGAATATTTTTCATAGGCAAAATGATATTTGTTAAATTTTGTTTATGTTTTATTTTTCCTCCTCTGATGTGGCCAAACCTAGTCTAGGTCCCCAATTTTTTTTGGAGTTTTCCGCTGCCAGAAACAATTATTAAAAACAGCCAGAGTTGGGGTGCTCATAATTTTGCATACGCTGAGCCTTCGCTTTGACGGCTTGTAAACATGCTCTTTTTTCGGGGTGGTAGCGGCTGGGATTGATGGTTAAGGGAAGGGGTAGGGGTTGGAGTCCTACAGGAGGAGAGGGGCAAGAGAGGGAGAAGGGGAGGACGAGGGAAGTGGAGGGACAAAGAATAGAACAGAGGAAATATAAACTTCACAGGGTTGTCAAAACTCCCTGCTGGAGCAGACTACCATAGAATGGCACAAGAGGTCAGTGTTTGGGTTGAGGATTAGCAGTTGCCTATGGTAAGTGGCCACCACAGCAAACCAGACAGGACCACAACAGGTGTGGACTGCGGACGCACCACATCAAATTCTCACAGTTGAGTTGCTGCATCGCATGGCACTGCAGAGACAGATGTCACAGCCTACGTGGCTCCCACATGCTAGGAGCACAACGGCACGCCGACTGCAATTGTATAGGCATCACCTTTCCAGGCCGTCTACAAATAGGACATGCCACGGCACGGTGTCGAACAATGTTGACTGTCATCATACATATGAAAACAAAGACTTGCTCTCGACACAAAGTATGCAAATCACATGCTAGCCGAATGTCAGGTGGGACATCACAGCTGTTGCAAGATCTGGACTGCAACAGATCGCCCTGGCGGCAATAACCATTCAGTAGTTCGCACTGCAGGTGCTTCATGTGAGAGTCTATTCTCTACCTCAGGCTGCTGCATCTGTTGCTCATCTGCTAAGGGCTACCTCAGGCTGCTGCGTCTGTTGCTCATCTGCTAAGGGTGAAGGAGATCCGATTACGGGTGCTGCATGGAGGACGTGGCAGTTGATGGCACCGGGAATAGTTCACCCATTAGAGAAATATGCTCCATGACAGCTTCCTGGAAACATTGATGACACATAGCATGTCGCTGACACTCCAGCAGGAAAGCAGGCTGACATTCGCAGTTACTTAAGCATGGTATGTCAAGGCCACAACCTCATATCAGGCAAGCAGTAAAGGGGTGAGAGGAGGAGTGCAAGACAACAGGTCACAGTTTCCACGGCAGAGGCTAGCAGTGACCATCCCTTCATAGTGTTCGAAGCAGAGGTTGTGTTGTGTGCACGCTAATCGAACTTTACCTGTGTGCAGACGTAATGGCATGGCTCAGCCACCATCCTCTGGAGGGGCCCTCTCACCATCTGCGGCACAATCTGTCCGTCTGTATGTTTTCATGTTCACTTCCCAAACTCCACAAAAAGACGCATGACTGTGCCAGACTGTTTTTCACCGACTCATTAGGAGGCTGAACCCCAACAGTCTGCCCAGGATGCATTTGACTGATGGATAAGGACTCAGCACATCACCCAGAGGTGGCAATACCTCTGAGAAAAGTGTTCGGTTTTACTCACACCAACGCAGCGATTCTAGCAGACTGTCAATCCAAACAGATATAAACAAGTGCGCAAAAAAAACATGACTATGCCAGGCTGTTTCGTGGGTCTTGCACCGACTCGTCAGGAGGTTGAACCGTGACAGTCTGCTTAGGATGCATTTGAGTGATGGATAAGGACTCACCACGTCGCCCAGAGGTAGCGATGCCCATGAGAAAAGTGGTCGACTTCAGTCACACCAGCGCGTGTGTGTCGCAAAACATGCCATAAGGCAGCTCTGGGGTCTCAACCAGCGATAATCTTAAGAGATCGAAAAGAATAGTCCGGAGTTCAAGATGGAGTGAGATGGAGGCAGATAATCACAAGCTGAGGATGGGGCTGGGATGGTCAGGGCAGGGGGATGCCGCTGTAGAGGGAGTGGGATGAGAAAAGCAACCGGGGGGGGGGGGGGGGGGGGGGGGGGGGGGGGGGGGGGGGGGGGGGGGGGGGGGGGGGGGGGGGGGGGGGGGGGGGGCGGGCGCAGGATAAAGAAAGATGCGAGGGACGGGCTCGAGGGGAGCGTGATGTGAACAAGGAGAGGGCAAAATTGCAACAGGAGGAGAACGAAGAGGACAAAGGGAGTTAAAAAAATAAAAAATAAAAAACTGGCCTTCCCCCTCCCTTCTGCAAATCCCACGCAGTGTTGGGGTAAGTTCGCGAGAAGGGAGTAGTCACCTAGTAACGACCTACCCCACGAACATTGCAGAAGTCACAGGTTACAATTTCATCTGTGGCCGACCACCAATATATTCTAAAGGTGGGCGTTCAGGTCTGCATGTCGGCAGTTATGGGTTAGGATGAAGATGCCCGTAGCTCTCTCGCATAGTTGCGGCGCACCTCGGTGCGCGGATTTGCGCACCGCACAGCGCACCCAAGCGCACCGCACAGCGCACCCAAGCGCACCGCACTGTAAAAATTAGGTCCCAAAAAAAAAAAAAAAAAAGTACAGGTTTTGTCATTCCTTAGGGTCCCCAATGTTAAACGCACCGCGCGAGCCCGCAAATCGGCCGCGCCCCCGGCCCAAACTTCTTTTGGGGCAAGGGCTGCCCAATTTCAATTTCCGCAGGCCCTACCCCCAGAAATTTCAGAAAGGCAAAGCATAAAATAGGACTCTTTCCAACTTTTCTCTTAGGCGGGGTATGGAAGTGGGCCTTCCCCCTCCCTTCTGCAAATCCCACGCAGTGGTGGGGTAAGTTCGCGAGAAGGGAGTAGTCACCTAGTAACGACCTACCTCACGAACATTGCAGAAGTCACAGGTTACAATGTCATCTGTGGCCGACCACCAATATATTCTGAAGGTCGGCGTTCAGGTCTGCATGTTGGCAGTTATGGGTTAGGATGACGATGCCCGTAGCTCTATCGGTTTTTTGTTTTTGTTTTCTTATGAATACGTACAGCGGGGCCTGCTCCACTACTCACCACATGCACAAAAGAAATAGCATATGGCAGTATATGGTCCCATGTTTTAGCAGAAGATTCATTCTACTAATATTATAATTGTATACATTTGGTGAGTGGTGGAGGGATCTCTGTTTTTTTTGTTTTTGTTTTCTTACGAATACGTACAGTGGGGCCTGCTCCGCTACTCACCACATGCACAAAAGACATAGCATATGGCGGTGTATGGGTCCATGTTTTAGCAGAAGATTCATTCTACTAATATTGTATACATTTGGTGATTGGTGGAGGGAGGCCCTGAGAATCACGTGGAGACACGAACAGGCACTAGCTGAGTTGGTGACCATAACTGCCGAGCTACAGCCTTGAACTCGAATCCAAAGCATATATTGGTGGTCTGCCCTACCTCTTCCACAGGTAATGAGACCATCCACATGTGACGTAGGAGTCATTCGAGGTACTTGCAGGGGCCCTCGAATCGACGTGAAGGGGACCCTTTGTTATCTCTTTTCTCTCTCTCTCTCTCTCTCTCTCTCTCTCTCTCTCTCTCTCTCTCTCTGTGGGGCCTTTTTTTTTTTTTTTTAATATTGCGCACAGGGCGCACCTCCCTCAGCGCGCGCACCTGCACAGCAGACCGCACTGCGCACTGCACACAGCGCACGGTGCACAGTGCGCGCGCTGTCATTCCAGCGCACAGCGCAGTGCACACCACCCCGCACCGCACTGCGCACTGGTGCGCCGCAACTATGGGACAAAGTAGCATATGGAGGAGGGGAAGTTCAGTTGTCTCCTCTCAGTAATTAGCTTGTGATCTTTCTATCAGGTTGCTGAGACGATCAAATGGCCAGCAAAACTTGGCATAAGCTGCTCATGGGCTCAAGTCATCGGGGCAGGGAGGGATTGCGATGGGGGAAGAGGGATGTGAAACGAAGGCACAGAGAATAGGAACAGGATGAAGGATTTTTTAAATTTTTTTATTAATTTTTTGGGGGAGGGGGGAGGGGGGAGGGGGAGGGATCTGAACACGGGGGACTAACAAACAGAGGAATAGGAGGAGACGACCACAATCTATACATGGAATCAAGTGGCAGACGCCATCCTTTCAGCTCTCAATGCTCAGCTGCTGGTGCGGATTACTCTTGCCATTACTACGCTTAGTACACTGGCAGAAAACAAAAAAGTAGCAGGAGAATATGGAGGACAGGACGCCAAGGTCACACTTACTGAAGGTGAGGACGCCATGATCATGGCCAGCTCTCCTTAGCTCACTCTCCTGACCATTGCTGCCCCTCTTCAGTGCTCTCCGTTCTAAAGGCTAGCAACCCGCACTTCAGAGCACTCTGCCAGGCTGGGGGTTCGGCACAGCTCTCTCTCTCTCTCTCTCTCTCTCTCTCTCTCTCTCTCTCTCTCTCTCTCTCTCTCTCTCTCTCTCTCTCTCTCTCTCTGTGCCAATAACTGCCAATAATTTGTGTATGCTTGCGTGCTCACATCCTGTGTGCATGTATGCGAGTGTGGGTGTTGTAAGGAGGGGGGACGTGTCGGTTGCACTGCCCAAATCGCGGTATCTCGCAAACGAGCACTGACCACCAGTGCCCCAATGTAGTCATCTAATATGTCGAGATCTAGAATGGCCACAGAGCAAGGACAACATACACGAATCCAGAAATGGTTTCAAAGGTTCGAGCAACAGAATGCTGTAAGGAGTGTCCAAGTGTTTTGAGGAAAAGTCCGCGAGGTATGGATGGGGGGGAGGTGCGGGTTGCAGTGCGCAAACAGCAGTACCGCCCAAACCAGCCCTGGGCAATACTGCCTGCAAGTAGTCATGCCATCAATCAGGAAGATCTAGCATGGCAACCGCACAAGCATGACACACATGAATACAGAAATGGTTCAAACCTTCAGCAGACCGAATGCACCGAAGGATGACACACACGAATCGAGAAATGGTCCAAGTATTTGAGGGACAGAACCCGCATACTTCCTGACCAGCACCACATGAACTCTGGCCGTCAGGCCCACTCCTGGCCCTCCTGGCCCACCGTCAGTAGGGCCTCACTCCGAGCGCATGCCACAAAAGGAACACGACAAATCAGTGGAACCAGCGGGACCTTTCGGGAGCAGTTCAAAAGAAAGACAGATATACAACCTCAGAATCGTTGCATTCAAATGAATAGCATAACAATAAGGCCTGCGTAGTAACCATGAGTTGGAATCACGACTGGCATAGGACAAGGGTTGCAATGTTGCCGACCATCAGTGCTGGTCATCAAGAGGCTAGGCCCGTCGGACCAGTATTGCTCGCATCCAGCTCATCATAGCTTAGTCATCAAGAGGCTAAGCCCGTCGGACCAGTATTGCTCCCATCCAACTCATCATAGCTCTACCGGAGAATATCAACTGCCTTATGGATGGGAGTGGACTCCAGAGGGTCATAATCATCCAAAATGTCAGTCAAATCCTTTTGTGATGGTGATGGGTTAACTTGGTAGTGTGGCGAGGACTATCTTTGCCTGGAACATTTTCACAACATCAGCAGCAGCAGCACGAGATGGAGGAGGAGAAAGAAGGGTTCTTCTAATCAACTATGCCATGTGGAAGAACATTTAACCACCAGATTAATCGGAGGGAGAAAGAAACAGGGCAGTACTTCCCTTTTCTTAGACACAAAGCATCTTCGGCTTGCCAGTGCTAACAAATTGACCAGGCAGAAAGTCAGCGCTGACTGCACTGCCAAGCAGATGTACATCACTCAAAAAGAAATGCAGCAGAGTTGGAGAAATGATGCCCTGTGAGTATGAAGTACAGTCTACAACATGTCCCGCAAGGTAGTCAGGCCGCCGACCGCCAACAGCCTTGTACAGCCTACAATATGTCCCACAAGGTAGTCAGGCCACCGACAGCCAACGGCTTTGCACAGTCTTCAATATGTCGCTTAAGGTAGTCAGGGCGCCGACTGACAACGGCTTTGCACCCTGCCAGTCAAGCATGTTGGCTGTATGCCGACCATTTCGACAACGTTGCACTGTTTTCCTTTTTTTTTTCCAATCCAACCTGGAGGCTGTTCCGCACTTGCCGAGAACAGCCAAAATCTGCAATAAAAATTAATGTGCAGTTGGGTCAGGGGAGGGGAGGAAGTTGAATACCATAGCTTCTGAAAGGGGATGTCTCTTGTCCATCGGGCTGCATGAAATGGTAGGGATATAAAGGCAACCCTACGGATCTGAGAATTTTTTGACATTAAATTTACAAACCAAAAAAGAATAATTTTTTTTTCCATGTATGCTCGACTGAAAAACTAATTAACATGCGTAGCTTCTGACAGGAGCTATCTCTTGTCGATCGGGCTGCGTAACGCGGTAGAGGGTACAAAGGCAACCCCCAATTCACCATTCAGATCTTGATTCTATGAATTTTTCGACATTAGTAAAAAAGTAATCCCACCCGGTTTTCCGTGTATGCTTGATTGAAGACCTGGTTCAGATGGGTAGCGTCAGACAGGAGCTCTCTCTTATTGATCGGGCTCCAGAAGGTGGTAGGGGGTACAAAGGCGACCCTATTCACGATAAGACCTTGATTCTATGAATTTTTAAACAGTGCAAAAAAAANATTTGGGCCTGCCCGTCGGGTACTGGTCCAAGATCAGGCCCTGAGGGCCTGTAATACCCCAAGGTCGGGCCTTTAGGCCCTGATGTGTCCCTCCGGCCCTAAGTCGGGTCCGGTAGGACCCTGTCTCTTATACACATCTAGATGTGTATAAGAGACAGGAAGAAGAAGGGGGGGCTTTGGAGCCGCATACGATTTTCCGAATTAAAAAAAAAAAAAAAAAAAAAAAAAAAAAAAAAAAAAAAACAAACAACAACAACAACAGTGATGTAATGGAAGACGGGGCTAAAGCTCTATCAACAGCAACTCGACCAATACTCATCTGAATTGGGCCAGCGAGGGCTTTTCCTACAGAAGCGGAATTCCAAGGTCTTCAATGCTACTTCAAAAACACTGAAATGCCTTAGTAGGGCAAGAAGAAGAAGAAGGGGTCCAGAGGGAAAGGAAAAAGAATACTTTGCCTACTGCCATGGGGACAACAAGCCCTCAACTGTTGCCGGTCGACCGGTTGACTGGTTGGCCCTTCTTCGACTGATTGCTTGCATCGGGTTTCAAAAGGGTCAGGGGGGATAACATAGCTGCTATTGCATATAATTCGTCCTCTATTCTCCTATCCTTTTCCCAGCGCACAATCAAAGTCAAAATCCAATTATGAGGTTTGCGTTGTGCACGTGCCACAGCAATGGCAACATGGAATTTTAGACCTTTGATACAAGAGCAGACAGGAGTCCACAGGAATTGCTGGATACTCACCGTATGTTGTTGTCCCTATTGCCGAGGAATCGGCCCAGAATATTGATAGCCAGTACCCTCAGTCCGGATATCGACTCCACAGCCATTATAGTCTGTACACACTCGTATAAAATGGCATTTCCTGCATTCTTATTCGACTCGGTATTTGTCGCCACCTGCATTTTCAGGCCCAACCAGCATCCAACAATAACAGTCAAGGCCATGACAAGCCAACACCATTTTTTTTATTTTTTTTTGCCAACAACAAAGCCCCTTCTATTCTGGGGGCCATCAGTCCGGTTACTTATCACCGGCAAGCAAGTTTTTCACATCCATTCAAGGGAGATGGGAGAACAGACAAAAGGAACGCAACAGTCCGCCCTTGTGGTACTAGACGCCTATCAAGGGGGGAACTGCTACAGAACATCCCGCCCCCCAAGCCTTGGCCTTTCATAGAAGGTTGGCCTGCAGGCCGGGAAGCTTACTAGCAGCACCCAGTCACGCAACAGGTCAATACCCAGAGAGGCCAGGCACGAGGGGGGCATCTGTGGCAGTAGCCAACACCATATTCAAGGCACCCAATTTACTTAATTTCATCATAGTAAATCAGCAGGCTTCCCAGAGGCATGCGCAAAGCATCCCTATTGACCCTCAGAGGCCATAAGCCAGACACATGGAAACTACCACCACATTCAAAGCAAAACAGAGGGATGCTAGGAACCATGGCTTGGACTTCGGGAAGGCTACATGAACCAGCTTTCTACCAAGCTCCCTGACTACCCATCTAGTCCGAACCCTGAAAATGCATACCTGTGCTAATATATCACTCATGAGATCGCTTGATTCTGCATCGCCTTTGCCAACCAGCCGCAGTAGTCGCAATACTTTCACTTGCAAAAACGGATCTGTGATTCCAGCAACGTCATACTCTGGAGCATAGCCACTGATAACCAGGCTCTTGAGAATGCGGACCAAAGTTGGTGTTTGCTGCAATCTCATGCACATAACAAATGTTCGATAAGAAAATGTTGAAATTAGCATCATCAATAACCATACATTCCATCAAGACAATCCAGCTGAAGACCACGGCAAATCCAGCCAGCATACTGTTCCATCTGCAGTTGCCATTGCAACCATACGTTCCATCAAGACAATCCAGCTGAAGACCAACGCAACAACAAGCCACCTGTTCGATCTGCAGTTGCAATTGCAGCCCAATCTCTGAAGAGGAAGCTGCACCACACCCACCCTGAATCCTCCGGAGAGAGGGGAACAGGAAAACTCTCTAGCCTGGAGTTTAGTCCCCAAACTGGCAGAGGCAATCATCATGGAAAGACCTAGGTTTGGGACTTGAGCCCTTCTCTTTAAGGATGTAGTGGTTTATATCCTCACCACAGCTGAGGCATGCCAGCATCTGAAGGGAACACCTACACTTGCACAAACCAACCAAAAAAACGCAATAAAAGATAAATACACACTGCAGCCCAACATCCTCCCCCAGTCGCAGCCCAACATCCTCCCTCTCTCTCTCTCTCTCTCTCTCTCTCTCTCTCTCTCTCTCTCCAGCAGGGGAGATGAAGAAAGCAGAGCTCGCAAACTCAGGATGGGGGCACGGATGGTCAGAAACGGAGCTGATCACGTGGGGCAGAGAGGATCAGAATTGGGAGTTAATGCCAAGGATAGCAACAGCTGGGAAGTGGCAGGGGAGGAGGGAGGGCAGAAAGATTAGCCCGGGGGGGGGGGGGGGAAGGGGGCTGGGGCAAGGGGGAAACGGATGGAAAGGGCGGAAGGATAAAGAAAGATTAGAGGGAGTGTGAGTGGGGTTGGGGGGTGTGGGTGGAGGGGGGGGTTGGTCTGAAGATGGGGGAGAGGTCAAACGGCCTGCATAACTTCGCATCAGCTTCTCGGGGGGGTCAACTCATGGAGGCAGGGGACCTCACGATGGGGGAACAGTGAACATATGAAGCTTAAAGAAGGAAGATGGGGGGCAGGAGAAGGGGAAAGAGGAGTAGGAACAGACAAAAAATGTAATAATATATACTCACCTTAGTTAAACAATTCCTCACAATTTTTTTTGGCCCAAAAGTCGTTAGAATAGCTTAATCTGGCTAGTTCTACTTCTTTGAGTGAAGCTATCTCCGGGCAACGAGAGTGCGCTCACCTTCCCAATCCTGCGTAACTATCTACACACAAACACCGCTCTCAGAGAGAGAGAGAGTGCAATTCGCCACACAGATTTAAGCACACAGCTAATATGGTGTGAGGATGCGCCCATTCAGTTTTTCGCAAAGTCTGTGTCCATCTCTCCATGCACAACAGCACTGAAAAAAAGCGAGAGAGAGCACTTTGCCATGCACATTGACGCAGCCTGTTTCCACATCGTTACACCATGCCTGTTTGAACTTTACCACGCAAAGCCCGTTCGCACTCCGTGAGCCCAGGAAGCAAAAGCGGTGTTGACAAAGCCTGTTTCCACTTCGCCAGAAAACAAAAGCAGAGTAAGGACTTGCAAGCCGGCATTCCCTTTCTGGGCTCATGCGTTGAGCGCAGTGCACAGTGTTTATGGGCCTCGAAGCCCACCCATCACCAAATGTGCAAAATGAGAACGAATCTTCACTAGAATATGGAGAGACACCACGCCACAATTCTTATCTCTTGTCAATGTGGTGAGTGAGGGAGCGACGCCCAACGCGCGACCTTGGATTTAATTTCCTTTTTTCTTTTTGTAGACCATTGCACGCCGCTTAAGGTTTTTCTGCAGCTCAGATTAGGCGGGTGACAACTGCCCAGTTTTCCATTCACGTTTTCAGCCGCACTGTCGATGAAAACTGGAAAACGACAGCCGATTTCACAGAACAGCAGAATACGATCAGGATAAATCGCGACATAGTGTTACAACTGCGAGGACCAAAGTCCCTCAGCATGGATCCAGGCCCCTCCGCGCCCGCCCTAAGTGAAGGGGGGCCTCAGTATTTGCTGGGGCCCTTTTTTGGGGAAGTGGGGAAGCCCTTTGCCCCGCGTCAGGTGGTTACTGTCGCCCTGAAAGGAGGCTGAGCACGAGGCAAGGGCCCTGTATCAGTTTCCAGACGAGAGCTTCCGAAAGGGCCTCGCATGGGGTGGTTGAGCCTCAGAGCATCTTCAACCACCGGGTAGGGCCCGACAGTTGGAGATGCTGCCCGCCTCAGCTGCTGATGCACAGGACCCTTATAGTTTGAGCCCCAGGCACATTCTGGGAGGGCCCTGGGGCACAGCTACAGGGACTCAGAAATGCAGCCAGGTCAGGCCCTCGCCGCCAGCCACTTCCCCTGAAGGAAACTGCCTGCCTCGAGTGCAGACACATTCTGGATGGACGCTGATGCACGAGCGCTGCTTGAGCGCACACTGGAGGCAGGGCGCTGGCCAGGGTGTTGCGCGCACAGGCGCTGGGATACAATGCTGCTGAAGGCGGCATAGCACGGTGGCCATCACTCATGCGGGAAGCCGATGGTGATGGTGGTGGTCCTACGCGTAGGAGTAGAGCCTGTGGAAGGACAGGCAGGGCATGAGTAAGAGACTGGAGAGACACGTACCTTGGTGTTGAGAAGAGGTGTGCATGGGCAACGTTTTCATGTACACAGCGTTGCTGCTGAAGTGCTCCTGGTTGCATCTGTAGATTGTAGGCTAGTATAGGTGCTGTGAGGTTGTAGTCTGGGCGCTGAGTGCCATATAGAAGAGCAAAATTGGATAAATTGTTGGTGAAGGCAGATGGGGGCTGACATTGACAATTGAGTTCATTGCTTTTCTCTTATTTGGTGTGTAACTTGCTGCATTTTGTTTTCTGTTCAGCACACGGTTATCTGGCTTCTGATGTGATGATGCAATTTGGTTTTCTGTCATTCGCTCTCCTTCATTTTCCTTGCACACCCAACCAGAAGAGCTTTACTAGTATGTAGTAGACAAAACTCGAGGAATCGCCCACAATGGCATTCTCTGGGCTCAGGGTGGGCCAAAGAGTCTCACTGTGTCTTGCAGCACACCATCAGGCAAGACATCCTCTTCGCTTTATCGAGTGGTAGAAACAAACAAACGAGGGATGCACAAGGAGCAAGGACCAACCTTACGGTAATGCTCCAACGCAACTGGACTGGAATTACACAGAACAATTGCAAGGCTGATACCAGCAATAAGTACTCCGTGGTGCCTGTCGGACAGCAGGCCTGTCGCTGGGCCCAGCAGGAACTCTACCATCTCTGGAACCTTCCTTAGTATACGGATTGCACAAAGGGCTGCCTGTTCAGCAAGCAAACAACACAGGAGATAGGTCAAGTGCAATATTCAGCATCCGAGACACGGGCTACAGCAAAAGACATATTCAACACCTTAGGCAGGATGGTTGTGATTCATGTATTTTCCTTTTCATCAAGACTAGGTGACTCGTTGCACCCTAGCTTGAAAGAAAACAGCAAGGAATACCAACAAACTTTTTTGAACTTCTATTGTGGTCGTTAGTTTACCAGTTGTTTGCAGTTTCCCATCAGAGGGTAGTTTTTCCTTTGATACTGTGTGCAATGCCCGCACAATTGCAGTCTGAGAACCCTGCACTTTTCTGAAGAAATCATATCCTGTCGATCTGTTTGCTGAGAATTCTGTGTGTATTCTGAGCATTCTGTTATCAGCCGATGTCACATTTCTGCTGTGTGCTTGCCTGGTGACTCTCTCTCTCTCTCTCTCTCTCTCTCTCTCTCTCTCTCTCTCTCTCTCTCTCTCTCTCTCTCTCTCTCTCTCTCTCCCTCTCTCTTCTCTCTCTCTCTCTCTCTCTCTCGGGGCAAACACACGTCTCTCGCTATGACTCGTGGTAGGACGAGTGGGTCGTAGTCAAGAGGGCGGAGGAAGGGCAGAGGGAGGGCGAGTGGGTCGTAGTCAAGAGGGCGGAGGAAGGGCAGTTGGTAGGGCATGACAGGTGGAGGGATGGAGGAGGGATGGAGGGCGGAGCACAAACGACGAAAGGAGGGCAAGCTTGCAGGGTCGGGCAAAAGTCCGGAGTTCCGCCAAAGGGAGGAAGTAGGTCCGCCTGAGGCAGGCGGAAAGGGCCTCACCAAGGTCTTGGCAGACCAGGCTGCCCAAAGAGGAGAGTGACGGCTTCTCTGTAGTGCTTTTGCCGTAGCCCAGCTACGGCAGTACCTTTTGCCAACCGACACCAAAGAAAAGAAGAAAGGGGCCAGCAGCCGCTGAGACTGGGTCGACGCCAGCACACCCCCTACTTTTCGTTGTTGACTGATGAGATGGCTGTTTTCCCTTCGTGATCTCAGCAATATGACCGTTCACACAACCCATACCATAGATCGAAGCCCGAGAATGCGCTGCATACTGGATGGCGGGCTCTGACAGAGGGCAGAAGACATGGGTATCGTGTCAACTGCAAGAGTGACCCATTTTACAGGCAGATTTCGCTTAGTTGGTTAGAGTGCTGGTCTGTCATGCCAGAAGTCACAGGAAGGGAAGAGTTCCAGTCAGACTCACAGACGCTGAAAGCACGAACCTGGCACAACTCAGCCAAGGAAGCATCTGGAAGGAAGGGGTTAGAAGTTCAGCGGACAGACATGCGTCAGTGATGCACCACGTAAATGGGGATGTCACACAAGGACTGCAAAAGCAGTCAGATGCAGGCACCGGTGGAACGCGGAGAGGAGCACAAATCTCATGGCACGTGATTCATAGGTGAACGTCTTCTTTACATGAACGGGCATGAACCGCCATCCCTCCTGCCATAAGGACAACACTGCTGCTAAAAAGGGGGAGCAGATCATTAGGCGTAGAACTGCACCCAAACCCCTATTTCTCCTGTGATGAGGAGGAGCACCGGCACCAAACCAGAGTCAGTATCTGACCCCAGTTTTCTGATTGGTTGGCGAGGGTTGAGGGTACACCGACACTCCAATCCAGGAACAATATCTGACCTCAGCTGAAGCCCTCATTCGTTACTGAACGGGATGGTTGCTTGGCTGGCCAGTACCTTGAATGATGCGCTGGGAAACATTGGATGCTGGGCTGCAGTGGATTGGCTGGTTATCAGGCTGTTTCATGAGGAGCTGGTTAATGGGATGGTTAGTGGGTTGCTCATGGGCTGGATGGGCTAGTTGATGGGCTGGCTCAAGGGCTGCCCAATGGGCTCCCTCTTGTTGCCAGGCTGGTGGATCGGCCGGCTGATAGGCTGTTACATAGAGGACCAGTTGCGGCTACACCCACAATAAAGAAGGAATGTTTCCCAACAAAGACAAAGAGGTTGATGGACTCTCTCTCTCTCTCTCTCTCTCTATAGGGTGTCGATGGACTCTCTCTCTCTCTCTCTCTCTCTCTATAGGGTGTCGATGGACTCTCTCTCTCTCCTGCTGGTGCACACACATGCTTGCAGATTTTCCATTTTTTTTTCTTTTCTTTTTAATCGATCAGTGCGCGAGCGGATTTTCCATTTCTTTTTTTCTTTTTCCTCAAAAAGGTCCCAATGGACAATGGATCAGACATGAAACTGATCCAACCACATACTATACTTGATATTGGGGGGATTCCGAGTCTCTCTCTCTCTCTCTCTCTCTCTCTCTCTCTCTCTCTCTCTCTCTCTCTCTCTCTCTCTCTCTCTCNCTCTCTCTCTCTCTCTCTCTCTCTCTCTCTCTCTCTCTCTCTCTCTCTCTCTCTCTCTCTCTCTCTCTCTGTTGCATACTTCGATGAGTATGGGCAGAACCAAAGATCAACCAGTGTAGGATGAGCATGTATGCAGCGGAAGTCTGATAAACGGACTGACTCACATAGACTGACTTACATAGCATCACTCCACACACATATAATCGTGAGATGGTGGGGTCTGAGCCATACAGAGAAGATGCTCAGCCCCGTACACGACATACACAGATGAATGGGGGAGGAGAGACGAAGGAGGTGGGGCAGGTAGACAGCACTGAAAGTCACCGAGATAGAAATCTGATAGGTCACCGATATGGTAGTCCAAATGTCATCCAACAAGATCAAAATGTCGAGGACCTAGGTCACCAATGTCGGAGATACAGAGTCCAAATGTAACCGGTGTCCGAACTGTGATGTCGCCAAGTATCAACCCCAACGATCTCCCAGTCTCCAATCCGGTAAGTACCACAGTCTCCTATCACCGAAGTCCAACTCTGATCTCTGTCCAACTACTATAGTCTCCAATCTGAAGAAGAAGAAGAAGAAGAAAAAGATGAAGGAGGAGGAGGAGGAGAGAGAGAGAGAGAGAGAGGACTGACGAGGGAGGGAGGAGAGGTCCTCCGGCATCCCAGGTACCTCAGGCGGCAATGGCCGCCGTACTGGCTCAGTYGYCCTGCTGCTGCTCCGCTTGCCGCTGCGCTAATGCTGCGCTGCCGCTGCTGCTCCTCGCTCGCTCCTGCGCTATATTAGCGCATCAAAACAGCGCTCTGGCGCTGACCATACCGTACCAGTATAGTGCCGGTAGGTCGATGCCTCCAAGTGAGGCTGTACCGGTACTTTATACCGGTGGGGCAGAGGCCGGCCTCAATGCTGTGAGGCCTGGCCATGCCCTGAACCGTCCAGATGGACGGTTCAGCCCCAACCGGCGGGCAGCAGCATCAAGAGCGCCGCCAGGCCCAAACGATAATGCCATTTGGGCCTGCCCGTCGGGTACTGGTCCAAGATCAGGCCCTGAGGGCCTGTAATACCCCAAGGTCGGGCCTTTAGGCCCTGATGTGTCCCTCCGTCCCTAAGTCGGGTCCGGTAGGACCGTGCGTCGAAGATGTAACACTCTCTCTCTCTCTCTCTCTCTCTCTCTCTCTCTCTCTCTCTCTCTTACTGTCTCTCTCTCTAACACTCTCTCTCTGTGTGTGTGTGTGTGTGTGTGTGTGTGTGTGTGTGTGTGTGTGTGTGTGTGTCACACACACACACACACACACACGGACACATACGCACTCTCTCTCTCTCATAGTTCCAAGACCACAAAGAAACCAAAGCAACAGACACAAATAACAAACTCATCGTCAGTCGTCAATGTGCGGTCGTTCGAAAGCCTTGACGCTGCACAGCTCAAGCCTCAGCGTCCAACCCTCATGATGCAGAGATGGTGTGTCCTGGGTGGGTGTGTTTGTGTGTCTGTGTGTGCGTGTGTATGTGTCTGTGCGTGTGTGTGGGCGTGTGCGTTCTGTGTGGGTGAGTTTGAGTATGTGTGAGTGTTGTTATGTTCACTGTACAGAACTCACAAAATGACTCAGCCATACTGTTTCATCGGACTTCCACCGACTCATCAGGAGGTTGAACCCCAACAGTCCGCCCAAGACGAACTGTACTGTTGGCCAAGGACTCACCACGTATGGGTGTGTGTGTGTGTTATAGATTTTCCCCACAACAGCCCCAATTCCACCCAGATGAATAGATTCAGAATCAAAGCAATCTGTCCTACTGCAGACAACAAGACCATTTGAGATGAGACAGTCCAACATATTAAAGCAATTTTATAATTAGACAGTTTATTGGTTGTCCTTGAGGTACCCCTTCCATTTGTTCTTGCAGATCCCCTTTTACTGTGCCTCTTACGTACAAGGCTGGCCACATTGATTGTGGTTCAGCGGCAGCTGCCCACATCCCCGTGTCCCTTCACAGCACACTTGCACATTTTTCAGGAGGCAGAGCAAAATGCAAGGAAGATGAGCAATAGCGAACTTCGGAAATCAAACAGCATCATACACATGAGACCATATAGTCGTGACCTCAAACCGATAGCAGAATTGCATCACGAGTTTCACCAAATAAGAGCACACCAAAAGCTCATAATTGACAATGCTGGAATAGTCTCATCATCATCAACGAAGAAACAATGTTGATATCCTATCTGGCGCTCGGCGCCCAGACTACAGATGGCAGATCCTATCAAGCATACTCTACGATGCCGCTGATGACGTCAACAGCTCCCCGAAGTAAGAACAGATCTCGGACAATACGGTACGCTTCAAGCACCAGGTTTGTCTCTCGTATCACTCACAACCTCGTTCCCCAACTCACAGATGCCCCATGCACCCCATCCAGCATCCAGCAGCGCAGCTCGGCTATGGCTGCCTGCTCCTTCCAGCTCGCCCGTGAGCACGTGAGCCTGGCCAGCATTAGCGCAGCAGCGCTTGCGCACCAAGCAGCCAGTGCCCGAATGTCCAATGCGTGGGCAGGCCCTTCCCTAAATGGAAATGGCCTGCCTGCCTTGCGTGCAGCCTCGCTGCGCTGGGCCCCTGCCCAGAAGCTTCCGGTAGGCCCAGAGAGGC